AGCACGCGGCTGCGCACTTGGGGGAGGCGACGCTCTCTGTCATGAACACGGGAGGCCTGGTACGTTGGGCGGCGGCAAGACTTGTAGCTATGGTAGCAGGATGCGAATCGTGCGAGATGATGTTTGCTGGCATTGTTCCTCAGGTCGTCTTATGATTAGATGCAAACGGCCGGTGTCTCGCGATGCATCCGGCAAACATTTTCCCATCCGCCCTCCCCCGCCTCGCTGTAACCTGGCGTGTACCCCTTCCCTTCGTCGGTGAGCTCCCCCTCACTCCTTTTTTTTTTTTTCGGTAGAAGTCAAACATAGTGAGAAAAGAATCGCAGGCACACTGAGTCTCCCCACTTGACATCTACAGAAGGCCATGTTCCCTAACATCACCCCCCCTCTTTTTCGCGCAACCGCTGCAGTGTATGTGCACCTGCGCAGGAGGTCTCGATGGACGGATCAATCGTCCTTCGGAAGTCCGGGCCCTCCTGGTTCGGGTTTCGCCAGAAAGACCTCACTTTCGAGGTCCGTGTGACGGAGGACGGGGTTGCCGTGTCGCGAGGCGGCCAGTACGACTGGGGCATCCAGGCCCGGGAACCTCTAGCGCAAGTCGTCCCAACCACCATTTGAATTTCCGATATGTACCCAGACGTGTGATTCTTTGGACGTCTGCTGTAGGAACTTGGAGTTTTCGACCGATCAATGCAAGAGGGGATGGTCTGTGCTGTGAGCCAAGCAACTTTCTGTTGTTGTGTCGTCCTTGCGAGCCCAGCAGGCAGGTCTTTTGTTGATGCTGTCGCCTCCGATTTCTTTTGTTGTGTGATTTCGGCCCTTGTTCGTTTCCGTTTTTGTTTCTTGGTTCGTGGAGTTGCTGCTTCATGATCGATGTCCCTTTCGCTTGAGCCAATATGAGCTTTCCCATTTTTGCCACCGGTGGGTGTTACTGCGGAGGCTTCATCGTAATGATGAAGTGCTATCTCTTCGGTCCAAGAGGTGCAAAATGTACACAGGGACATCGAATATGTATGTGCTCGCGAATTGGGATGAGATTTGAGTGGAGACGTCCCGTGCTGTTCTGTTCGGAAGCGGTCTTTCACACCAACCACACACAAAACGGTTTGGTTGCAGGGTGTGCTTGCATGTTGCCAAGAAGTATCGTCCGGTGTAGCACACGTGCACTGTTTTTTCTTGTTCAAAGTGCCGGGGTATTGCTTTGTACCACGACATAAGGGCCCGTTTTTTTAGTCTGCGTGCGATGATATGGAGGGAGGGACGGATGAGTTGCAGCGTCCTTTTTTTTTTTTGGCGGTGCCCTCACGGAACAAAGTCGCCACCCTCAACGTGGCATACATATTCGTCTTCAATCACCCAGTCTGCTGGTGTTTGGCAGGAATTCAGGCACACGATATATTGCAGTGCCACAGCGCAATAGAGATGGGCACCGGAAGGGAAAAACAGAAAATGAATAACCGAAAACCGCCTCCATAAAACCTATTTTCTTCCAAACAGCGCCCATCTCTATGTCTGCGGTCCGTGGAATACAGCCTAGCCAACATAGAGTGCTTCTAAGGTGAAGATAGCTACGCTACGCGGCCACAGGCGTGGGGCAGGGCGTGCGAGTTCTTAGTTTCCGACAGGTAACGGTCTATGCATCACGCGTACAATGAAAGTTCGGAACCCCCGTCTACTAGATAATCGTGTTCACAGCCACGAACACCTGACACAACAACAATCGTCTTTGACGCGTGCATGAGGTCTTCTGAGTTTCCCCCCAACCACCATCAAACTGAACCACTATTTGCCATTGCCAGGATCGCCCTCCTCTTGTGCGAGCGCGTGGGGGTGAGGGTGTTCTTCTTGGTCTTGTGCATGTCCTCGAGGGCGTTTCTGTTCATCCTCCGCTTGTCGAGCGACCGGGAGGGCTTGGCGTAGCAACGTTCTTCTTCCTTTCCTGTCTGCTCGTGCTCTTCCGTGTTGTTCACGGCGTTGCTTGAAGACCTGTCGTTTGTTTTGTTGACAGCTGAAGGGGTGAATTCATGATAGCTCGAGGAGAAAGAACTGTTCATGCTTTGGACCTCTTGTTGCGGTTGTTGTCGTTGTTGTTGTTGCGGTTGTCGTTATTGCTGTTATTGCGGTTGTTGTTGATGATAATATTCATGTTGTTGCGGTTGCGGTTAATGCGGATACCCTGGTGATTTCACGGCCACAATTCCCGTTCTCTCGGCGGACCCTTCTTGTGTTCTTGCGTAGACACGCCTACAATGTACTCCGTGGGAAAACGTACTACCTGCTTTCGAGGGAAGGCTGGTGGCGGATACTGGGCGCTTGAGGGTCGTCGTTGCTTGAGGTGCCGTCGGTGTCACCGTCGCCGCCGATGGTGTTCCATACTGAGCAAGCGTATCCACGTAGGGCCGAACGTACAAGAGATCATGAACGAGAACCGCGTCCCGACATGCGTCCGCACACAGGGCAAAGAAACAACAATACGAAATCACATACTTCGGACTCCGTCAGACTTAGCGGCCAAGCCCCGACAGGAGCACCTTGGACGGTGAATTTCACAAGAAGGCGACATGCATGCATTTTGCCCGAGGTGTGTCAAGGTGGAGGTATTGCAAACGTCGCACCGCACATGCGCAGAGAAATAGTCACAAGTCATTTCCAATCATGCCCGCCCGTCTATTGGACGTCTGAGAGGCATATTTTCTTCATTATTGTACTATGTAGCCCCCCCCCCGCCCACCTCAGCCAAAACGGAGCAAAGGACGGATTCCCCTTTAACTCGTTCAAGTGACTGCCAGCGACTGTTCACCCCCACGTACTACTCCACGGCGAGAATTGGCTCCCTTTAGGGTGTCTTCTTTTGCAACATTTTTCGTCTCGCCCTGTTGGAGTCATCTCCTTTGTGTTGCTTAACATACGCCCTCACCGTCTCCGAAGTGGGTGGGAGATGCGGCCGGGATCCGGTGGACTCTGCAGATGCTGCGGCCGTTGTCTTTGCAAAATGATGTGAGCGGCGAACCATGAACAAGCGATGGCCGGGAGGGACAAGGAGCGTGGGTGACATACTCCTTGGCAAATTCCGTCGGCTGGCTTTCTTGATAGGCCGGTGCTTCTGTTGAAAAGCAATACCATGTCGTAATACTCATTCCTACGCGTGTTTCACGGCATCCGCCGGGGTACCTTGCGGCATCTTGCTCCTGTGCGTGTCGTTCCCGGTCCTTACATGATAGGTACGACTGAACGGTGGGAACGCGTGATTTGCACCTCGTTCAGGAAGTGGGGCACTTGCCGCATGACAGTTAGCTATACTACAGGCCTCGAAGTGTCGCGCGTCCCTCACCTCCGTGTGAATTTTCCCTTCGTCAGAAATAGCCCGACCAGACAGGACAGAAAGTAGACCAAGGTGGACAGACACAGTGGAGGTAGTGCGAGTGGATGGGGGGGGATTAGAAATCTTGCTCTATCCGAAATATCCGTACGGATGCTTCGTATCGAAGCCTCGAAGTTAGCACACGTTTTTCTCTCTCTCAGAGCGAGGGGGAGAGTGTTGGATGTATTGATACTTCTGCACGCGGTGGTCGATCGAAGAGTCGAGGTAGATTGTTCTTGTGACTAGGCTTTGGCAAATAGACAAACTCGCCCGTGGTAGGGAGGGGTTGGTCTTCTTCCCCGAATACGCAACGTACAACGCCGTTGAAAGACTCCGGTTTGCACCCGTTCATGTCAGATTCACCACGATATTGAACGGGTGCATGTTTGCATTCCCCAATGTCTGAGGGGGTGGAAGCGTACACGAAGCGCGATCCCTCCCAAAATGGGTAGTAGCTCGGTGGCCTGGTCTAAGAGTCATACACACTAGTTATCTCAATCGTGATGAGGTTCTTGTAGGTGACCTGCAATGCTTCCCCCAACATGGTTAAGCTCAGCTTGGTACGTTAGGAGCGAGGTTTACGGTTGATTCTCGCCATGTGTTAATGACCCACATTGGCGGCGTACCCTTGCCCTTGTCCGCAAACATCGAGGGCGGTGGAGGCGACAGAAGGTGGACGTCCTTGGGCGCTTGCTTGAAACCTCTGTGGTACAACATGCAGGGCGCGTTTTGTGGGCGGAGAAAGGAAGATGAGAGCGTTGATAGCGACCATTTCTGTTGGCTTCGATGGGTCTATCTTTCTCATCGTATTGTTTTTTTGGAAACTCCAAGGCAAGGTGGGCATGTTGTCATTCGTCAACCGACATCGTCTTACAGTGGATATTCACCATTAGAACGTACAACGTGCACAGACGGTATGGACAGAAAAGGAGACAGAACCAGAGACTGGGGCAGAGAAAACGTCGAAGATGAAAACAGCAAACAGGGCCTTTGTTTGGGACTGATTATTCTTTACCAAACCGCTGGCAACCGGTAAATGTCTGTAGGGCAGAACCGCACTGGACGAAAAGACACCGTTTTTCAAGTATTCGTCATGCCTCCCGTTGTACCTCGTACGCCCTACGGCCTTCGGTAGTGTCCTTACCTCCCCCCCCACCATCCGTAGAACAATAATATCCAAAGACCGTAAGAAAAACCTCAGGCGGCAGGGTCATCGACACTACTAGCCGCACGACGCAGAAAACTCACCCTTGAAAGGGTATTGGCGTACGATTTGCGCAATGTGCAACAGCAGTCATCACCTATGCACGCACAAACAAAAATCCGTGCACGTATAGGCTGCATAGACTATACCGTACCCACCGAGAGTGAATCGCATTGTTTCGTACTGCCTTGATCATGGTCTGCTTCATGCTGCGGCGCAGACACATGGTGGTGCCGACGAGCAACACGAGGATCACCACACCGCAGGAGCACACCACGATAATGGTAAAATCATCGTGGACCTGAACCAGACAATTAGGCGACGGCGCGGAGTGTTGGCAGCATATCGCCGGGCGTTCGTTGTCAGGATTTGGAGATCACCTCGCTCGATCGGTGAACACAGCAGCAGCGTGCAAGGTTTTCCGTTGGAATGTTGTCATGCAATATGAAACGGTTCGGAGTTGCACAATGACGGTACGAATAGTCTAGTAAGGGTTGTCGAAACGCTCTCGACGAGGTGGTTCCAACGCGCCACGTTCCAATTTGCGTTGAAGGTCGGTCCAGAGGGTATCTTCACCTGAGACTGGCAGCCTTGGTCAGCAACGCACTGTTGATAATTGGTGAAGGTGAATGTCATGTTCGACGCACGGTAGGCCGACGTGATGTTGTTCGAGTCCCGCATGGCGACGTTGAAGATGTACTGGGCCCCACGCGAGACCGGCGCCTGCGAAAAGTAGGCGGTGTGGTTTGTCATGTTTGTGTACTGTACTGTAACTTCGTACGATTGTACTCCTGTAGAGAACTGAATACGAGAAGTATTTTACATCTCCTTCAACCATCAATGCTGTATCGAGAATGCCGGAACTGATCTACAGTAATTGGTCGGCAGAACATCGCCCTCGTGGCATTCGATGACTTGTGTTGGTTATCTCCATTGTTGGTACTACTTCTATCTCGTTTGAGGCACGTGGCGCGTTGGATGCCGATCTGTACCGACCGGCAGACAGGTCAACAACAACTAATACTACGACGACGACGACGTTCGTCGAGCTAAACCAATATTGACAACAACGACAACAATAACGAAGACGACCACAACGACGAGAACAACTACAAAGAACAGCCGAAGGGATCATCCGAACACTATCTCCCGCACACGGTGAATCATGATGAAGGTGTCCACTTGTTTTTATTTTTGTGTTTCAACATTTCGTTCGATATGTGTTGATGCAGAGTGCACGGTTCCTTTCTGTGTTGAAGTCAACTCTGACGATAACCGCTGGTTGTTGAGGGGCCATGGAAGAGCAAACCGTCAGGACAGAGTGCACAAGGAGGCACCAAAGATATCAACACCAGACATGTGGGGAACCGACCAGCAGACGAATAGTTTGGTGATGAGCATGCACAGGGCCATGATCATCCAAATATTGTGATAACTCTGTCGGTGCCAGACAGGGCCAGCCAGTCTTAATGGGCGCTCTATCCTCCCAACTCATCCGAAATAGGCATTAAAATCATCCCCAAGAGATTGGCCTTTGTGTTTGGAGAGCATCAGTGCGAAGGGTTTCGACGGCGAAGTGCGAAGAGAACCTTCTGCCCAGATCAATGGCACGAAAACACTGAAATGCATAGGAACGAGATAGACGGCGAAACGAACAAACAAGAGCGTCGCCTCCATCAAGAAAGGCAACACCACTACAGGTAGCACCCGCGATCAAGAAACAGACCTATATAAAAAGCAATGGCTCACATGTTGGCGATAAAGAAGAAAAAACGACAAAGAAACACACCTCAGCCGTGAACCCTATACTAAACTCGATATAACGCCCTACACTATGCTCGACGGTCGTGACGAAGTAAGAAATCGAGTCTTGACCCACAAATTGACGATTCATAAACGCGGGCGCTAACTGTGTACACTCACCTCGAAGCTGTACTCGTCGGTGTCGTTGGGCAGGGTCACCCAGTCAGACATGCCTTCCGACGCCCGGTACATCCCGCACGCGGACGAGAACAGGCAGTTCGGGTTCTCCAACAAGGAGAGGCCACCCGTAGGGATCACGCAACCGGAGGGTACCTCCCATTCATCCTCTGCCCCTGTCCAGGTGGACAGGTTACTCCAGTATAGGCGGTAGCTCAAGTTGCTAGCCCCTCTCGCCTTTCATTGATTGCGGCGAACGGGCGGATCCCCACCCGTTTGGGAAGTCAGCAAAGAACGGCGCAAAAAACAAATAAAATTCGGATTGATTGTCGTCGTGGTTGGCGACCATGCCGCGTGGAAGGCCCCAGTAATCGTCGCTACCTACCAGACCCCGCCATTTGTTTTCGTGCTGAACATTGAATTGAAACTTGCCGTCGCTCTGACCTCCGTGCGCCACAAGCAGGTAGACGGGGGTGGTTGGAAGAATATTTGGCAACTGAGGGTGGACTACATGTATGTAGCCTAGTCTACATATGTTTAACTAGGAAACGGGCGACACGGGCCGCGTGGACGACCGATTATTTTTACCTCCGAAGCGCTAATGGAGATGGCAGCGGAATTCGAGGTGCGCATTGTGGCCGAAAGGACGCCGTCGCCGCCCGGGTTTGGTGTATCGCTGAGCGTGTTGTACGTCGCCAGATCGAAGCTGGAAGAACTGGTGTGATTTCCAGCCGTGACGAATACTGCGTACTCGTTTGCCTGACGTTGTTGTTTGCCGGCGGGTGCGCAAGAAGCTCGCGTGAAAACAAGCGGGCAATCACGGCTGTAGCTTCGCTTGTGGACGTGGGCAAATATTCGATGTTCACGATCTCTTTTTTGTTGTTCTTTCGAATAACCATTTTTGCATTCTTGTTTTCTCTTCAGACGCGGGGAAGAGAGAGAAGCCACACTGACAGAACACGTTTCCTGCAAACTCCCTCTGCGCCTGTCCTACCGTGTCTCTGTCCCTCAGTACTACTGTCTCTCTCTCTCTTCCCTAAGAAAACAACCCGGGGTTTCTCTTTACACCGGTGTGGGGAACTCCTTCTACTGTACGGAACCTCTCCGACGACCAAGTCCCCAAATGGTACTCTACATACCATTCACTCTACCCAATTCGAGGTCGTCATGGTGGGTTCACTACTGTGGAACACCGTCTCTTCTTCCTGCTAACCCACACCGTGTTCTCCCCCGGCTGTCTCGACGCTCCAATTTCCTTATCGCCTGATATGCTCGACACCCGTCGCGAATCCCCCACATTTTTATCTGTGTATGGCTCGTACGCATCTTACGTCCACCTCCCTGCCCTCTGGACTACTCGTTCCCAACCTCCCCAGGTTGGAAGGGAGCCCAGGTTGGAAGGGAGTGCAATGCAAAGTCTTTTGGTTCACGCCCCGACTTCTTGACTACCTCTATTAATGCCCGCAGAGGCTGGCCATACCTTTTCTCTTCGACTTCACGACCGCTGCGGTACGAGGACAGTGGCGCGTCGTCGGGCAGCGTCGCATGACAAGACATCAATTCCACTATCAGAGCCACACGGCACCGCCGTTTGCTCTGTACTCCGACTGCGCGCCACTAGCCTCATCCCGTGTGCTACTCCAAACACCAGGCAGCAAGGTCTATCAAAGCCCACACCATCTCTTCGGGCGAAGCATCTCCTCGCAAGAATACACATGTATTCAGCTCCATCAGCTACGAAGAATACAAAGCACCGGAAACCTGGCGCGCTGACTGATAGAGATTGGCCCCGCCGTGCGGCCAAGTCCTTACCCCTATATGGGCTATCAGGTACTCCGCCACGGCGGCTAGCACCGCCCGCGCCATCTCCGCCACTGCCTCGGCCTCCTCCAGTCGCCGGAATCCCCCGGGCGGGGACGCTTGGTCGGAGACATAATCGAGTGGTTGCCGCGGAGGACGATGTTACGCAGCCCCCCAGATGCTATGAAATTTCCGGTGATGCTCCACAGAGGTCCGACCACCGGTGGCATGGACTCGATGTGTGGTGTCGGGTGCTGCTTCTTGGACGCCAGAGCCCTGGTGAACCACGCGGACGCCCATTGGCCTAGGTCCTCGTCGACCATGTCCGCCACCACTTTATAGGTGGCAGCATTGGTCATCCTCGAACGGTGTTGGCGACAGTGGGCGCGGACCATCTCAACCCCTTCCTGAAGCCGTTGACGAAGTATCTCCAGGCGCGTAGTTCCGTCCTCCGACCCGATCCCAACCTTCAGGACTTCCATGATGAAATAACGCAATTTCTTTGGCCTCCTAACCTGGCCAATCCTTTGTATCCCTCTCTCTGAGTGCACCTACTACATACTGTTGTGTAGTTATGCTATATTGTTGCACGCCTGTCCAGCGGGCCTTCTCCTTGGACATGAACTCTCCGAGAAAGTGACCACTCCAAAATACTCTTCTCCATTCTGATACTCCGAATTACTGGAACAAAACGCCTCTGGCAAATTCGATGGTTTCAATAAACAGTAGTCTTGCATCGGCTATATCTGCCGCACCAAACTTGCTATGTTTTTCCGACTGTTTGGTAAGATGGGTGCATAGGCTAGTCTATAGATATGCACATATATGTATGTATGACACATACATGCGATCGACATATTATGCATATTATTGGCGGTACGTCTCGCCAGCAGATACCGTAGATTTAATTTTCATACGAGCTACGGCAGGTGTGTGGTACTCGTCTCGACCACAACCAATCGCGTGCACTGCTCGTACTAATGCTGTATCACACAACGTCGAAAGCTTTGACAATTTTCACCTGGACCAAAATGGTAAGTGCCGCCGGGTTGAAGTCATCTTCCGAACTGTACGTGGGCAGGAACGGCCACGAGCTTGGACTAGATGATTTGACTTCCATGCGCGCGCTGCCACTGCACGGAGATAGCTGATGGTATGCGGAATGGGTGCGACAAACGCCAGGCCGTGGTTTTAGTGGGCTTGGCTGTAATTGACGGAGTCGTTTCGACGAGGAACTCGACCGGCGGAAAATGTTGCAGGAATTAGACTTGTTCCGAGCGTTAAGAATTTTCGTACAGCAGAGCCCTCTTCATACATACATCGCCGGAACGCTTTGCAATCTTGGTTGTGGGTTCTCTATAGGTGCAACAAGAAGGGTTGCAGCCCGCAGGACACGACATCACTTGAGAAATTGGCTGATGTTATGGCTAATGTTATGGGATTAAGAGTTGGCTGTTTGTATGAGCGTCCGTCGTGACGGGGCTCAATGGATGACGGCATCACGTCATCTGACGGGGATGCCATAGTGCCTGACGGGGATGCGAAAGTGAAGAGGGCTCGAATATATATGATGTGCACGGCCCTACGGATAGTCTTTGCATGTAGTGTCCCTTGGGATGCTTCTTGGCGTTTCATTACTGGAGTGATTTGCGGAGCCCTTCTCCCTCTCTCGCTTTGACGCGCAATATCTCACCCACATCACAAACGAACCATTATTTGAAGACCAAGCATCTTTCTCTTCATCACACGGCTGTTGCCTGGCTGTAGTTTTATGTATAAGCCCTCGATTTGATCCTCGCCTCCGGCTTGAGGCGCCCAACCGGAGGCGCTACTTGTTAGTCTGCCTTGCTACGGAGGCGGCTACCAACGTCATCTTACTTTGAAGGTCAGGTTTCCTCGAGGCACTTCTGTGATGAGCTCCGTGCTCGAGGGATCTAGCACCCAGTGGTACAGTGAGCTCTGCCCTCGAACCAGTTCTCTCCCGGACACCTGGCTGTTGTCCAGCAGGCACACACACGACTCTTCAAACGCTAGGCCGCTGGTACTATTGATGCAGCAGTCGGCTGCATACGCGATAGAACTGGAGTACCTGTAGTTCTGCACCCAAACGAGGCCGAATAAGGCTCGCAGAGACGTGTGAAGACCGATAAGTTTCGTCCCACATAGGCTACCGTGTCGATCGCCCCGGTCTCTCATGACGGATCGCCGACGTTGCTAAAATAGGCGTGTGAAGACAGATATTTGCCACTCGCAGCGGAAATGTGCGGTGCGATACCACATCCATCCGATGATGGTGCGGTGTAAAACGGATTTTTGTTTTGACGGTTACATCCAAAATGTGGCTTGCATTTCACTCTCACTCGTTCTGTGTGTGAATCTTGGACAGAAAATCTTGGCGGTGAAAGTCTCACATTGTTCAGCCCTCTGCGTGGACGCATTGCATCGCAAGGCTCCGTCATCGCTACCAATACGCGAGCGTGGCATTCTACGCACACAGCACCACACGATTGTTCAGCCAGCGGTCATCGTCATATTTTATTTTTTCCGGTGCACAGCTTTTTTATTAACGGCGCCAAACCACTACATACAGTGCCGGAAAGGGTGAGTCGGATTTTGGGCCCTTTGAAAAAAGTAAACGCCTCCCACGAAATTATATGGAACCCAAATATTCGTGCGAAAGCTCATGTCAGCAGCTTTCGAATGAGCCTACTTAGAGCGTTTGGTTCGTCCTGTGAAAAAAAGTACGGCTCTATTACCATCACAGCAGAAGAAGGCACTTCACCCCAGCACAACCGGCATAGCTCAACAATTACGGCGTTCCAAACGCAAAACCGCGTATAGTATGCGTGGAAAGCTGTCTTTTTAACTATTTTTTGGCGGTGGAATCATCCAGGAACGTCGTGGGAGGAACCGCAGAAAAAAACAGAACCGTGGAAAGGAAAAAATAAAGCACTTCTCTTCAGTATTTTCGCCTCAAATTTTTGCTGGCAGGCAATATGGCAACAACTCGAGGTGTATTTTATCGATTTCGGAAATATTTCACAGGAAAATGTTCGTCATCGTTGCAGATACAAAAGTACGTGTGAGAGGGCAGGTAGTGCATGCCGTTGTGTACTAACGCACAAGGCGACATACACGATTACAACTGCGTAAGATCCATGTACGAGCCCGGGCATCCGTCTTTTTTATCTTTTTTTCCTGTTTAATTTAGGTAATTCAAGTATTTTTCCAATATGTTTCATTGGGAAAATGTATGTTATTTTCTTCGACCTCATCAAAACAATAATTGCCGCTGGGTCTTGTCAAGGCCATCGTGGGCACCACGTACGTGAAAGAAATGTCGAAATCCATGACCACAGTCAAAAGGTATGACCGGTCAACTAAAATCGGTCTGACACTTTCCGGCACTGCTGCTACTTGTCACGGTGCGAAAAATGTTGAGAGCTAAACCCGGGACAAATTATCCGAGAATGGTAAAATTTTGCATGCATGGGAGGAAGGTCATTTCCGTCAAGGTGAACGGTGTTGGATGGAACCACGTTGTGGAGAGCTTCCACAAAACACAAGCAAATCTTCCCGCATTGACAACCGATTTATTTCGAGGGGTAGACTAGGTGCGCGTTGCACATTGTGCAACGTAGGGCAGTATGAGGGTGACTCTGCCTCGTTTCAGTGGTGCTGCTTCGTCGTCTGGCCTTGATAGTTGCATACGAGAACGCGTTGGCTTGATCTCCGGGCGAAAGTCACCCACCGGCCAATAAACGACGGCCTTACATCGCCGTCTGCCGCTCAACAGGCAGGGGGACCACCCCACGTAACGGGACGTGTCCTGTTGTATTGGCAGCTGCAATAGCTCGCCCGCAGCAGCAAAAGCCGTAAAATGTTATTGAGATTGTTAAATCACTCGCAGAGAATGCAGCGAAACGTCCGTCCGCAGTCGGGTCGCGCAATCCGAAATCACAACACATCTAATTTTCTAAACCTTCTACTCCTACTCTATGCCTCAAGCACGAATCCACCTTCAAAATACGAGCAAGATGCGCCACGAGAACACAAAAAGCGCACCCTATCACCCCTGCAGCATACGGTTGTACAGTTTTTTCCACCGGCACTGGATATGGGTCAGAACAGAACGGTACGGAACAGGCAGCAAGTTCATACCACCATCTGTAGATCATATGTGACCTACTGGTACGACTAATCGAGCCCTTCCAACACCACGTATGAACCAAAGAGAACACGGCATGTCCACCAAATCAGACAGACTCGGACATGGGGTTAGCACATCGGGTTAAAGCGCTGTACCGCAACCGCTGCGCGTATTTTCGCGCACGCTCAGATCTCCCCTTTCACCCACCACCCCTTACCGTGGTCTTGAAAACAGATCCTGTCTTTTAACATACCAACTCCCGACACACGCTCGAGACGCGGTTCCATCAATCCACACGCCGAACCACAAACGCAGCCTAGTCTATCATATTTTCCATTTCAACAGCCTCGTTGGCGAGATGGGAGATGGCGCTCTGCGTGGCCGTACGCTTCCTGTTACCCCTCGACAATATCATCACAAGACGCCAACAATCAGAGAGTCAACAATCAGAGAGAATATGTCCCTCGGCCGGGGACTCAAGTCTAATTACACGTCGGCCAGGACTTTCCCCCATCGTCCCTCCTTCCCCAAGTTGGATTCCTCCGTTGTTGACCCCGCCTCCCTAACGCTCTTCCTACAGGGGGACATGTCAGAGAACACTATCACTCCAGCACGTATCGAGACTATCACCCGCAGCTGTCATCCACAAAAGCGCAAGTGCGAACTAGAGCGGAGCCTGTGGGCTCTCCGTTCGGCATCATGTGTGCAGCTCACGCTCACTTCTTCGCGCGACCGGTTTTCCTTCGCCACCCCGCACCCGCACGCCTGCCGGCTTGTGTCTACCCATGTATGCCACGGAACACGGTGACCAACACGGTCGCGCATGGTACCTCTTAACCTTTTCCCCCTCCCCCCTCAAATAACGCCTCGTGCCTGGACGCCCAAGTGCGTTCATCTGCCGGGGGGGTGATAGCGAGGGCAACTTACACCCTTATCTCACAGTCTCCACCAAGCATGCCCACGCCCAAGCCTAAAGTCACACGATGGAAGAGAGGGTCTACAGCGTGCTAAGTCACGGCCATCGATGATAATAGGTACAGATCACACCAATCTTATCAACGCCGTCATGCGTGGAGCCCCATCGTGTAGATCCAGCCCGGGTTCTCGGGCTCCTGTCCATCCGACGCTGTCTTCACTTGCACTTGGATTCCCAGGAAATAGGCCTGCAGATACACACGAGCGACAGACAAAAGGACGAATCGCAAGACAGCGGCGGACGAAAAAAGTTAACCCACGATGCGGGCAACGGGGGTGGTCAATGAGCGCAAGAAGATTCTAACAAACAGCACAGCCAATCAAACCAATGAACGCAAGAAAATTCGAACGAACGGCACAGCCAATCAAACCCCGGGGGTGACGCGAGATGCGCCCGCCGGGGCTCGGGCTCGAAAGGGTACACAAAAGACACGTATGTACACCCCCAGCATCCCTCTCTTACAGTTTTCAACAAGATCGTCAAGGTGCGAATGGACATCAAGAAGGTACATAATGACGGCAAAAGGTACGCCAGGCCGCCAAAACGCGGAACGGCCTAAGAAAGGTACATTTTTTTTTTCACTTACTAGCGTCCCCGCTTCGTCAAACAAGGGGGTCAAAAAGAACTGGTTGTGGAAGGTGGAGCCATCCTTCTTGTAGTTGAGGAGACACAAGCATGCCTCCTTGTTTTGCTTGACGGCTTCTCGGATCTTGGCGATATCCCCCGGGTCCGTCTGGAGATTGTTTTCCGTTGCGCGTTTGGAGAGAGCGAGAACAGGAGCGGGAGCGGGAGACAAGCTAGCATTCAGGATGGATTGAACATGTTCACCGTACGAATGACGGAACAATGAAGGCACAACAACAAAACGATCGACAGCACTGGAGAAGCAGCAACACCCCGAAACACACTTGCGACACAAACAACTCCGTGCGCGTCCAACTGCAAAAAAAACACGACCTAAAAGCTGCTCATCAACGTCTCAAGTGTTCTCGGTGATTCCTTTGTACCTTTGTTGGATGCCCATTTTTCACCTCTCTTTCTTACTACGCGAGTGGCTGTGTCAAGCGTTAGGTTTTGCTTCTCGCGTGAAAAAAAAAAAAAACGGTCCAGCTACAACGGGTGCCGCCGCAGCATCGAGAGTGCATCATGCCCCCCCCCCCCCACCCCCCCCT